ACCCAAGACCGGGGAGGGGGGGGGGGGGGATGTGGCAGATAAACAGAGGGGAAAAAAAGAGAAATGAAAGAGAGAAAAGGTAAGAGAACAAAGAAAGAGATGGCAGGAGGCTGAAAGGAGTCGAGCGTGAATATGTCTGTATAAAGGACGCTTCAAGACCCAATGAGATCTAAATCATAGCCATTTATATAGTTGTGTACACTTAAACATTTAGTAGACGCATTTAATTTCATTTGAAGTCTTTCTTACCATAAAATGTGATCCAAAAGTATTGAGGACTTACTATTCAAACTAGTGTCCAATCAAAGTTTGTTTTTGTTTTGTTTTTTGAAAGAAAGAAATTAATATTTTATTCAACAAGGACACATTAAATTGATCAAAAATGACATTTATAATGTTGCAAAACATTTCTATTTCAAATGAATTGTTCTTTTGTACTTTCTATTAATCAAAAATCCTGAAAAAATGTATCTCGGCTTCCTTAAAAAGAATAAACAGCACAGCAGTTTTATCATTAATAATAATAAGAAGAAGAAGAAGAAATTTTTTTGGGGGGCATATCAAAAAGATTTCTGAAGGATAATGTGACAGTGTAGACTGGAGTAATGGCTAGAAATTCAGGTTTGCATCGCAGAAATAAATTTTCTTTTAAAATATATTCAAATAGAAAACAGTTATTTTAAACTGTAATAATATTTCATAATTGTACAGTTTTTACTGTATCAAATAAACACAGCCTCGGTGAGCAGAGGACACTTCTTTCAAAAGCATGTGTATGTCTTGTCTCAACTTCCTATTTAAACATCAACTAATGGAGTGCCGTCACATGTATCAATAAATATCGACAAATGAATGCATAGCGAGATGAAAATCAACAAGAAATGTGTTTTACGGTAAAGAGGAGTGTCTCCTGACGAAATGAAACTCACATTTGTGGTCTTTTTATAGTAATCTATGTTGTGGACGTCTCTGGCCAGGCCAAAGTCTGCAATCTTCATAACGTTGCTTTCCGTGACCAACACATTCCTGGCAGCCAGATCCCTGTGTATACACTGCCACAGAGATGAAGAAAGATAGAGAGAACATAAATCATCACGACTTCACCTTGGAAACACAGACAGAAATCACACACGCAGACACAAACAACACAAAGGTTTTAGGTGCTTTAGGGATAAATGTGAGAGCGTCTGAGGCACGATAAGGCTCTCTGCACATTCCAGACGGGAAGGGGAGCGTGATGACAGTGTTTAGTTAGCATGTTCGCAGTGAGCGGCTAACAGAGTCGTGCACATCTGCCGTGATTCATTCAATGACTGTCTGAAAAATGTTGCATGAATATAATTGGACGGCTGAATGCTCTTTAAAAAAAAAAAAAGTGCATGTCAGAATAAACGGCCTTAAAAATGCTTGTTAGATTAAACTTTTAGCAAAGCCATCAGCATGAAGTCTGGTCCATTTCTGTTTATAGACAGCCGAGATTTAGCCACTTGTTAACTTTTTAAAAAAGTTTAGGGACAAGTAGATGTGAAATCAGATACTCTGAGAACGAAACAGAATATAGAGGTGTGCACAAACAAAACCCTTGAATAGATTTCATGCCGTGAACCTTGCAAACTATCCAGCAACTTGTTTCTTCTTTTTGCTACTGCTTATTTTAGCAGCCTGAGATCATCAACACTGTTACTGAACTAAATTATATCAACACTGAGCTGAATTATGACACTATTGTCTAACAGTATCTACATAGTTTGCTTCATAATAGATGAATTTTACATGAACACTGTTATTCTTCCTGTTTATTACCATGAAGCTTCTTTGAAACAATCTGCGCTACAGTATATAAATAAAAGTGACTTGACTTGATTAGAACTGAGCCTGAGACCAGCACCATTTAAAGCCTATTTAAGTGACATTTCTAAAACATTAAGTGAGGTATTTATATGGAGTGCATGTGCAGATACCTTCTGTGAGGCTAAATACTCCATGCCACGGGCTACTTGATAAGTGCAGGACACCAGATCTTTGAAGGTGAGGGGCTCATCTGAAACTCGGGCTATATCGTATGAGTACTCCATTCCCGGGGGCCGCCGGGCCCTCAAATACTCCCGAAGGTTTCCCTTAGATGCATACTCTACTATGACATATAACGGACCTGTGAAAGAGAGAGAGACAGACTGTCATCCCACTGTCATTTATACAGGTGAGAGCTTAAAGGAATAGTTAACCCAAAAATGAAAATCGTGTCATCATTTACTCACCCTCATGTTATTGCAAACCTGTGTGCATTGCTTTCTTATGTGGAACACAAAAGAATCAGTTTTGAAGAATGTTGGTAACCAAGTGGTTTCTGGTAGCCATGGACTTTCATAGTAATTAGTTTTGTTTTTTCCTTACTATGGAAGTCAATGGCTGCCAGCTACTTTTTGGTTACCAACTAACTTCAAAATATCTTTGGAAAAACATACTGGTTTGGAACAACTTGAGGGTGAGTAAATGATGACAGAATTTAATTTTTGGGTGAACTATCTTTTTAAAATGCATGAGATTTCTTACTCACCGTCCTGTGTGCACGCTCCCAACAGATTGATGATGTTCTTGTGCCGGCCAATCATCTTCATCATCTCCATCTCTGACACCAGGTCAGAAAGATCTTTCTCTGTTGCATCATCTTAGAAAGGTTCAAAATAAAACACAAAATAAACATAGTGTTCATTGTGCCCACTCAACCAAATGTAATCTGCTTTTTTAGGAAAAATCCTAAATAAATCCTGTTAGTTCTTTCCTGATTCCTGCTCACTACACTGTAAAAGTGCAAAAAACTGTAGCATAATATTCATATATATGCACATTATACATAACGCAATAGCAGTATGAGTGGTACGTTAGTATGCCATACATGCCAACGCATCCTATATGAGTAGATTGGCTGGATTGGCCGGACTGGCTGTCTGTGTCCCAGTGTAACTGTCTGTGTGGTTTAGTGTTACACTGAAGAGCCGCGCTCTTACACAGCTCTCCTTTCATTGCCTCACAATTAAAAAGCGTTTCTTCCATTTAGAGTAATTACCTTAGAGACAGTCGCCTTTTCATTATCTGCCTGCTGATCACTGGAGCGAACCTGACACAATCCACTGACCACCATTCCTGTCTTATCTTACTCCAGCTTCTTCTGCTAAGAATGCTGTGCACTCTTCCTTCCATACCAGATTCATCAATGTTTCAAGACCTTCTCTAAAAATGGGGGTTTTGTGAATTCTCTTGGATACTTTACAGTGGCAAAAAAAAAAAAACGTTACTTTAGTATTATAAATATACTTTTACATTATTAATTAATATTTTAACCTAGCTTATATTTTTATTCTCATTTTACATTTTTTATTTTATTTTATATTTTAGTCGTTTGGTTATGTACTTTTGTCATTTTTATTATTTTATTATATTTCTATAAATCTTAAATTTTTTATTATAAACTTCAGTTTTCATTTTTTGAGCTTTAGTTGTTTTAGTTGTGCTGCTGTAAATTTTATATATTATATATATATATTTTTTTTTTTTTTTGTAGTAATTTAGTACTTCAACTTACATTTATTTCAGTTAGTTGCCAGAGCAACATTTCTTTTCTTTCTTTTTTGGTTTAAGTTTTTCATCTGGTATTTATAATTTGAGTTCCAAAAAAAGATTTTTCATAGTTTTCCAACACTGCCGCTTAAAAGGATATTCCATCTAAAAATGAAAATTCCAAGATTTACGAAAATATTTTGAACAGCCACACAACTGTCCACACAATGAAAATCAGTAGAGTCTAAGGCTACTTTTTTTTCCCCTCGTCTCAAGAAATATCTGCGTCCACACAAAACCACGAAACCGACACAAAACGATGTAGTATACATGCCAGACCAGCATGTGGCGCTGTAATTCTGCCACAGAGATACACTAAAAACAGAGAAGAAGACTTGGACTATGCGCATAAACCTTGCGCGCGGTATACAAATAAGTCGCTTTGGATACAATATAAATAAATAACAGTAAATAAATAAAATAAAAATATTTATAATAAAGATAAAAATTCATATAAATAACAATCCATATGAATTTAATTTATTCAATACAAATGTAAAGTAATACATTTATGTCATTTAATATATTGATGTGTGTGTATAAATTATACATATAAATATTGAAATATATATATTATTTTAATTAATATTATGTTATGTTATGTTATGTTACGTTACGTTACGTTACGTTACATTATGTAATATTATATAGTTTCCTACACTCTTAAAAACAAAAGCTGAGGTGAGGTGTCTTAGTGTGTTGCTTGGATCATAACACACCGCTGTTTTTATTGAAAATGTTCCATCTTTTCACTGATATTTTAGTCTCATAGGGTCCATATGACAATATTATTCTGTCTGCATTGTACTCTGCATCTGTTGTTTTTACGAGATTTCTTTAGCTATTTTAGCAACTGCCTTGGCTGGGCAGGTAGACATTATTAGAGCTTTCTTGACATGTTTGCATCCCTTCATCTCGAACTCTTTGCTTTTCTTCGAACACTCCACTCTGTCTTCTGTATAAAACAGTCTAAAACCTCCAGTCTGTTGTTCTGTAGAATATCACGTGTGAATTCTATCTGTCTGCTGAGCTGGTGTGATTTGTAGCTTGTATCTGCCGGGCTTTGATCTTTCACTCGAGTACCATCCGTATATGAACCAGTCGTTTTGTGATTCACAACATCAGAGAAGTAGTTCCCTTGTAAAAAGCATTTCGAACCATTTGAAAGGTGACGCCCACAACAATTTATGAGCTGATGAGGTTAAGTCAAGTAATTCCCACCATCCTACATCTGATGAAGCCATTAGTGCTGAAATGTTTCGAAAAAATTCAAATAAATGCAAAAAATGGACCAGTTACACAGAGTTGCAAAGACCTACATGATTAAAACCCTTCAGACCCTGTTAACATGCAAGTAAACTAAGGCTAAATGTTGACACGCACCACAGTACAGTTTTACTCACATGGAAACTAATCCATAAATATTTACCTTTCAGCATCTTGACAGCCACCGTCACGGCCTCTTTAGGTTTGTCCTTGTCGATGCCCAGAGCTTCAGCCATCACAACCTGCCCAAAGCAGCCCTCGCCAAGCGGTTTACCCAGAGTTAACCTGTACAAACAAACACCAAAAAACACAAACATTACAGAGAAACCCAAAGCTCTTGACAGGCAATATTTATGCCCTGCATGAGCATTTCAATCCATCCAGACAGACTTTTTCAGTCTCCAGATGCGATTATGATGCCAAAAAATGCTGTCTAGTTTGGAAACATGTTGCATTAGCGACATCTAACCGTATATCAGAGTTGCAAGTGCGCGTGTTGTGTTTACTTAACTCGTAGGTGTTAAGTGGATGCCCTTTGCCTTCCATTGCAAAGCTTACATTAGACATTAGCGAGTGTGACAGCCGAATGTCTGGCTGGGAGATCTAGAGTTACGGTCCTCTGGGGTGAGTAACAATATGCCCTTTGGGGATTTAGAGACTTTCTTAAAGAGTGCAAGAGAAGGCTAGATAGAGGGGTTAACGCTTGACTAGCGCGCTCTGGTCAAGTGCAAAAAAGAGCATGTTTCAGGAGAGTGTTGTAACGTATACATCAGTTAAGAGACTCCCACCTTTTTAAAGGACTAAAGTGTAGTACATTTATATATATAAAGCAATATATAATTTTCACATATGTGACCCTGGAGCACAAAAGCTGTCTTAAGTCGCTGGGGTATATTTGCAGCAATAGCCAAAAATACATTGGTTCAAAATTATTGATTTTTCTTTTAAGCCAAAAATCATTAGGATATTAAGTAACGATCATGTTCCATAAAGATATTTTGTAAATTTCCTACTGTAAATATATCAAAACTTCATTTTTGATTAGTAAAATGCATTGCTAAGGACTTCATTTGGACAACTTTAAAGG